CCTCTCTTGTCTTTTTTCCCCCTTGTGGAGTTCATTCGCTGTCGTCCCGTTTTTTTTTTTTTTTTTTTGGATGAACATTTTCAGAGATCACATCAGTGCAAGCAAGTCTTCCGAGAACCACCAGCAAGCGCCTTGATCATGTCGGGTCGGCCCAGGACCACATCCTTCGCGGAGAGCTGCAAGCCGGTACCGCAGCCGTCCGCCTTCGGCAGTATGAAAGTCAGCAGTAAGTCGCCTTCTACCCACCGCCTGCACCGCGCCGTGCCGGGCCCAGTCGGTGTGGGCTCCACCCAACCAATCGAACCCCCCACCCTCCCTCCAGCCATAACCCCCCCAACGAACCAGACTGTTAGCCGCCGATTAGCTTAGCTCAGAACCCGCAGAGGTGCTTGCTCACTCGGGCCAGAGCGTGGCAGCTTGGCCGGTCCTAGGCCTTGTGGTGGAAGGCGAGCCTGGGTTCGGTTCCGTGGCGATAATGATGATTACGGTACTGTGGACCATTTGGAAGATGAGTCATAGCCGGGTTGCCACACAAGCTCTGCACGAGTTAACATGTCAGGCAGGGCCAGTAGCAGGCATGCGATTACGCAACTGTCACGGCGGAAGGTGCGCCCGTAAAATGACCGCACAACTGGAGTAATCCAAGAAAGGAGATTTTATTCCTTTTGTGCCTGTTTTTACTTGAAATCAAGTGATATTTTCTCAATGCTATAGGGCTGCAATGAGGTTTATGGAAGGTCTAGGCATCCCTGCTGCATTCAGGCTTATCATATTCCCCAGTATATGAAGGGCGGGGATCTTATTGCCTATCGGGGGCCACTTCAGTCATGTATCCAAAAATATACACCACTTATACATAGATAGATAGATAGATAGATAGATATACTGTATGTATGGCATGAGCATCGTGGTCCCACTGCCTTACATTTCTGAGTTGAAAGATTCAAATCTTGGCCATGCTGAGTGGAGTCTGGATGTTTTCCTTGTTTTCTGCCAGTCATATGCCTTCCTCCAAAATTCAAAAAATTTGGTTAATTTAAGACTCTAAATTGTCCATAGGGTGTGACAGTGGATGTTCGCGACCTGTGATTGAATGGCGACCAGTTCAATGTGAAGTGTCTCTTGTGAACTGGTATCTACTCCAGCTCCCCTGAAACATAATAGAAACTCACAATCCCTATTGTATATTGAAAATCACTTGAAGCATTTTTAAGTACAGTATGTTTATTGAAAACTTGGTTAAATCGTCAGACGTTCTCCAATTGCTCAAGGGGTATATAAAATGGATGGATATTCTTTCTTTTTCCATCATTTCCTTTAAAAAAAAAGATGTACATGGTTAATTCACATTTGCTGTCATTCAGTCACATTGCTGTTATTTAATACCGGTTAGGGGAGCTTCAAGCCTCCCTCTTGCATTCTGGGTCATAATCTATATGACATAAATCATATTCCTTATCGGCGCAGGGAACCTTTTTCCTATCAGGAGTGCCAATTCAATCCTGTATCCCAAATTATACATGAGTTATATACATATATATCATGAGGATTTGTAAGTTAAATGTTTTGGGCCAAGTGGCACAGTGACCTAGTGGTTACCTATGAGGATCGGGGTTTGAATCTTGGACCTCTTGAGTAGAGGTGGCATGTTCTCCCTGTACTTGTATCGGTTTTGTGTGGTTACTGTGGCTTCATCATACATTCTAAAAGCATGCAACGGCTTCATGTTATTTCCTCATTCTCAGTCCCAACTGAAGCTTACTGAAAAACTAAACATACAAATAGTGACATGTTGTGTATTGAACTGAACACCGCATATATTTATGGGCCAAAAGTTTGCTAACTTAATGCTTAATGCACAATGCAAAAGGCCATAGACGAGTTAGCGGAACTAGTGTCAAAGTTGTCCCTCACATTTCAAGCAACATATATTTTAACAGAAAACTTTGTAGTAAGACACATAGACAGTTGAACAATACTTGTATATTATTTGATGAAAAACAAATATTTTGCAGCATAGTCACTTAGTTGTGAAGCTTTTCTTTATCATGCATGTCTGTATTTATACTGTCCACTGGTGACCAAGCATGCTCGCCAGGAGGGGCCACAGATGTATGCATGAAATTGTGATGCAGTTTAATTCTTTGCAATGTGTTTAGTTATGTTGTTAAGAATAATACAATTAATGAAGTGGAGTACTGAAGAGTGCTGTTTGACTCATTAAAAACGCGTTGCAGTTTATTTTCTTGGCGTTTTATGCGAGGTCTGGAACACATTCATGGCAATTCCGTTCATTTCAGTTGGAAAAGAGTGGATTGAAGATGAGCATTTTGAGTTACGAGTGTGGTCACGGAACAAAACATTAAACTCATCAGTTGAGACCACTCTATTGCATTTTTACAATTGCACTTGCCCGCTGTGTGACTGTGAGGCTGTCGAGGAATGCCAACTGAGCTTCAGGGCTGATCGAGATGTGTGCTATTGGGGTGTGGCCAGGGCTCGGGCTCTTTACACAGGCACGCACACTAAAGCTAATCATCCCCTGTCCTGTCTGCCAATTATTGCTACTTTTGTGCTTCATACACAATAAAGATTTTGTTAATGGGTCAGTTTTTTTTTTTTTTTTTTTTAACTCAATGTAAAGATGGACTTTGTCCTAATTGTCATGCAGCCGCTTAATAGCATCCCTGGACTTAACATTGCATTGCATTGAGGTTTAGAACAAAGTTTTCAAGACAAGCAGTAATTCTGAGAACTGAACACGATGCTGTTATTAACCTGCTAAAACCTAATTTGATTCATTGTCTTTGTATCCCTGTCAAAGGGAAGCATCTAAATGAAACGGCTAATGAAATTTGAATCAGGGACTCTATGAATTGACTAATTAGTCTCAGCCCGTATATACTGTACTACGTTGAGCCCTCCGCTTATGATACAACATATCGGTGTTGCAAACGGCACATTCACTACATTCATCGGTAAATATAAGTCGTCACATGGCACAAGAAGCTTACAGTCAGTTACAGCCGAGCTTCCGTATTTTCAATTGATTTTCCCGGACACTGATTGGTCCCTATATTACGAAGATAATAGGAACTCATGTAAATACAATAGAAATAGTCTGTTGCAAAATCATTGTCACATTCTAAAATGTTTACAGGCAATTAAGTCCTATTTTAACGTTGACAGTCATACAAGTGCATTCCTCTTTTTCTTGAAATTTTAGTTGATTTCCATATTCGTGCAACTTGGCCTTCTTCATTGGTGGATCCACTGCCTGGAGAATGAGGAGACGCTCACTGGAATCAGCGTTGTCACTTAAGTCCTCTGATTTGCAGGGTCAGCTCTGCTGCGTTTGTACTTGGGAAGTTAGTTGTGTGCAGGACCGTCACCTAGGTAGTTTTTAGCCTGCTTTCAGTTACCGCTACTCGCAACTCTTAACTTCCCACTTGACGTGTATGGTGTTAATATATTAAGGCTGCAGATTATTATATATTAGGCTGCGGATTATTTTATTAAGGAGTGAAGACAGGTGACCAAGAACAATGAGACGACTTGTTTTCGCATTTCCTTTACATCGCCCCCTTGCTTCTCTTCTGCACGTGATGCGAACAAAATGAGCCACTTATTCTCTTTGACGCCAAATGAAAGCGCTTCCACGCACAAGATGAGAATGTGATATGGAGGCTCTGTAGTAGGGACATCACACATTTTCTGTGCGCTCTGAACCTCACTGACAGCCATAATTAGAAATCATTTACAAGTACATGCCCGGTTTTCTGTCTCGAGGTTTCCTGACAGAAACTGGCATTTCCCTTGCCGTACTGATGGCTCGCATGCTGTTTTTAGTTGTGAGAAATCCCTGTGTGAACGTGTGCGTGCGAACAGACTTTTCTCACAGTTCGAGGAAGTGCTGAGGCGGCCTGGAAAGGGCCCTGTTGAGTTACGTAGGCTGAATCGTATGCTGCTGTCTTGGGGCAATGATACTGCGGTACGATAGTTTGATATGCAAAGCAAAGAACCCAAATTTGCTACCTGTGTTTCAGAATCATCAACCATGTGTTGTCAGCTTTCATAGCAACCCCTCTAAACCACCGAGCTCTGCTATTATTCATGTATGGAAGTCATGAAAAACATATTTGAGAGACTCCAATATTTGTAGATCTCAAATCTTGGGAATCACCCCAACAAGTGCGAGACAAATAAGGCGCTTGTCTATCAGCGACAGCACAATTGACTTTAGTTCTGTTGTCATCTAACTCATAATAATCCAGAATGGTTGAACTAAAGGCCACTGATTTTTTTTTTTGTAGTGCAAGACATTTCACGTTTATCTTCAGTTCTGGCCGCTCCTATCTAGTCAGTCTCCCGACTAAACTCTCAGGTGGAAGTTTCTAAAGAATTGTCACTTATGAGTAGTTTCCAATTTTGTCTGGTGAGTGCCCAGCTAGCATCATTAAATCATCGACAAGCTCTTCAGAAGACTGAACATTTGAGGTGATAGCTAAGACCAGCTCCACACAGAAGTACAGCTAGAGTGGCAGTGGTCGCATTTGCGGTCAAGGGTACATAAGGAACTGACCTGAACTGTATTGCTTTGAAGTTATATTGCTGTATTTGAAAGATTTTCCAAGCTCTTGCTGTACAGACTGCAAAACCCACAGTCAAAAATGCGAGAGGCCTCAGGGTTTAAGCATTCCTAACAAGAGTATAGCGTGACGCAGAGAACCGCAAAGCCTGGCAGCAATGTGTCCTTAGATGTATGGACCGATGACGTGGTTGTGGAAGCCTCCTCCGTTGTTCAGAGATCAATGTTTCAAATTTGATGTATATGGCTTCCTAAATTGAATCTTGATATTGATGTCGTCAAAGAAATGTCCGATCCCCCTTTTTGAGGAAAAAAATGAACTGTTCGGTCTGGTGGGTGCTACGGACCAAAGTTGAATGAAATACACACTCTACCCATAATTCACTATCAGTTTGAACCCCTCAGCCACAACTTACGATCACAGAAAACTAAATCTTTGCCCTTCTGGAGTTTCACTTCTTAAGAATATTATCTCAGCGGCAGTGCCAGGCTCTTCCTCTGACTTTCTTTCTCTCTCTGGTTCTCTCTCAGGGGATAAAGATGGCAGCAAGGTAACAACAGTGATGGCTACCCCAGGGCAAGGCCCCGACCGGCCGCAGGAGGTTAGCTACACAGACACTAAGGTCATCGGCAACGGTTCGTTCGGGGTCGTCTACCAGGCCAAGCTGTGTGACTCCGGAGAATTGGTGGCCATCAAGAAGGTGCTGCAGGACAGGAGGTTCAAGGTAAATCATGTTACAGCTTTCTCCCAATTTGCACGAATGTCAGTCACCAGGGCCTGTAATCATATCATACTGCCCACTGCAATACGTGGACAAAGACATACAACATGTCGTTGTACAATGATACCAAAGGGTGCAAATAGAAAATGAACTACTCAAGCAAAATCATATGAAGCTTGAAGTAGCTGCTGACATGAGCCTTAAAACTCAATAAATGACTCAACGGCTCATTTCATTTGAGACGAGGAGAGAAAATAGAGCGAAAGGTAAATAACTGGTGTGCGATAGTTGCATATTGGTGCGCTTCCACAGTAACACGATGCCTGTCGAACCCAGATGTCAAACTCAAGGATAGCAGACCACATCTGGCCATTCACGTCATTTTATATGCCGGCGAAAGCATTTCACAATATTCAATGACTTTATTCATCAAAAATTATTCTAACCAAAGGCAAGGGTGATTTTGTAACATGAAACTATGATTATTCAGATTCTTACACAGAACCTATTACTGATAATTAAGTGTAGTGTTAGTGCCTTGCGCTTAAGGCGCACACCACTGTTAAAGGTTGTTTGCATCCTTAGTTTCTTTTTTTTTTTTTTAATAAAATTATGTTGTACTTTCCTTAAAAAAAAACAAAAACAGTTGTTTGCATTCTTAGTTTCTTTTTTTTTTTTTTTAATAAAATTATGTTCTACTTCCCTTAAAAAAAAAACAAAACACCCAAATCATGTTTGTTTTTAAATGCCATAAATTATGTCCCCGTTTGCACAAAAGAACATGCCTTGCATTTTGTTCCCTTGATGAACCAAACAGTCAACTTTAAAACGGAAGTACAGTACAACATACTTGTCTGTGACTGAGTGAACCTTTGCCCCACCTTTTTTATTTTTATTTTTTAAGAAGCAATATCTTCTGTAGGTTTGACTACTACTGCCGTAACGTACGTTAGTTATCGTCTGCCGTCGGGGTGGAATAATCACGAAATCCACAGTTTAGTTCGTATCTCGCCTTTGTGGTCACGGTTTTCGATTCTGTTTGGTATAAACAAAATCAACAACATCTTGTCTAATTAGGTTAAAAGTGAAATTATGAGGCAGGTGGACATTTGACACAGGGAGTCGCTGATGGTATAGTTGTACACTCCTCTGACTTGTATGCGGGCAGCGTTGGATCGGTTCCCACTTAGTGATGGTGTAAATGTGGGTGTGAATATTTGTTTGTCTCTTGACTGGCTGGCAACCAGTTCAGGGTGTAGTCTGCCTTTCACCCGGAGTCACCTGGAATATGCTCTAACACCCTCCCGTGACCCTGTTCAGGATAAGCGGTGTTTAAAATGGATGGATGACATTTGACCCGTCACTGTGACAGTCCGAGCTAAACAGAAGTTGAGATTCTGGCTGCCGGAGAGGAATGATCATCTTCCAACATGCTTTTTATTTATTTGGCAGAATAAGATATCTTGAAGAAATGCTAATAAACAAATTGGGGCGTGTCTGTGGGTAGTCATGGGCACTCACAGTTAGAAAACTTCCAGTATTTCTGGAGGTCTGGATGAAGTATGTATGCCCTGTTTGATTCGTCTCTGTAAAACTGCGAAAAAGCGGCGGTGAGTAGAAGTTTCCATAGATGAGCTGAAATATTAGTCTTGTTGCCGTTGTACACAACACACCGTCACACTTTGGTCAATGACTTTGTATCGCCGACATCGTAATCGAAAGTGGTCTCATATGGCAGACCCGTATGTATAATACTGTACTGCTACCGCATTTCGCATCTTTCTCACTCGTCATGCTAGCAAACATTGAACCCCCGAAAAGGGAATCTTCATAGAATAAAATTGAACACTATATTTAGTCCTTTCGGACCCATGCAAACGTATGAAACCTGTCTGCTCTGTAGGCTGTTATAGTCCGGCTGCGGCAACACGGTAAGTCGAAAGTGGCTGATTGGAAGACAAGATGCCAAAAGAATAGTTGTCTACTGATTAGTAGTCAACTAGAAGCTCCAAGCATCAATGTGGAGTAGTTTAATTGAATAGCCTGTTCAATCCCGAGCATCTATTGCGTACCTGTGTTTCCCATGTAAACTTTTTGGCTGTCTTCTAACCTAAAAGCACGAGTGCACAGTGCTCTGTCAGCTTTCATTTTGGTGCCGACGTGGAAATGTGTGATTTCCTTTCAAACAAAGCACAACACGCGCACCCCCGACTTGAGTTTGAGTCACTTTGACGGATAGGCCGTTTTTTTTTTCCGCGACTTGCTCGACGTTGCTCTGTTGCATGCTATTTCTTAAAAGAACAGTCAGTGGCTGCATTTGGATCTGCTATATACAGTATTTGCATTTCAATCGCCTTCTCTCTCTTATGTATAATGAAGGAGATTTTTGTCTTCTGCGTCCCATCAAGGGGAAATAATTCGCATTATAGAAGAGGCTCGAGTTGATGCCTTTATAATTACATAACGCGTGTATGGTATTATCCTTATCCTTGCCTTGGGGCAGCAGTCTAAACAAGGATTCCCACACTTCCGTGTTTTCTCATTCCACCGGGGTGGATACTTCAGCGTTCTTGACTCCTTTGACTGTGAACCAAAAAGCCGGCATATTCCTACTTTTTGTCAGGGACCACCTGGTCTTACGAATATTCTGCCTTTCAGCAGTAGCAGCAGAGCCGCAGCAGAGGCACGAGAGCACCTGCATGTAAAGCAGTTATCACACTGAGCGGCGAAGGTTTTGCAAGTGTTTGTCATAAAAATCGATTTTCTTTCATTGCTTTTAAATTCCCAGTTTTAAAGCATTCGTTCTGACAAGTTCGGGTCGTTCACCATTTTAATATACACTGTTTTCAAACAATTTTATTCATCAGTACAACAACTGGAGAACAATGTAAAATAACACAGTGAACTGCTAAAAATGGACCCCTAAGGCATAATGAATGTGAATAATAACTTTTAAGTTGTGATATGACATAAAACGTTAGCATCATCGCTATTAGCAAATGTGTGTGATCAAAACGTGACACCATGGATTGTTGCTTTCGTCCAGTCGCTGCTGGCTGGTTGTTAGCAGCTAAACTGCAAACGTTTACGTGGGCAGGTTGTGCAACTGCAAACTGTTCCCATTTTCATGCGTTCAACTTGATCACTTGGGTGCTACTTGTGAAGATGATTCATCCGGTTTATTGTGTTGCCTTGTTTTTGACGACTTACCTCGCACAACGGCTTCCTCCACGGCGCTCTGCAGATTATTTTCCTCTGGCAGTCACATTATAAAAGGCTGAAGCCTGTTATAGAAGTTTAAGTTTCTGTCCTTTCAACTTCTTCTCCGCAATGTTCAATTTTCCGACCCAACAGGTGCTAGCCAGTGTCTTTTTTTTTTTTTTTTTTTTTTTGGTTTAATTTTAGCAACAGCATCTGTTGCAAACTGCAAAATGTTTGCTTGCTTGCTTGTGTCTGCCCATGATGCTATCATGTAGCTAGCTTGCGGTTAGACTCTGGTTTGAGTGATTCACTGGAACAACCCAGTGGTTTGCTAGCATACTGTACATTCTTCTTCTTTTTTTTGTTTTAATCCCTTGCCTCTGTTTTAGAACACTTACTTGCTCAGCCAAGAGGTTCTTAATTATAGGTGGCTGGGAAGCAAATGAGCATGAAGTCTCCTCGCATGACTGCCATCAAATGTTTTCCCTTATCTGAACCCTACATCTTGTTCTACCTGCTTATATTTTTGCCTATCAGAGACTAGAGTGTGACACGGGAGTGAATTTTCACTCCCATCCCATCCCACTCCCACAGCAGAAATCTCATCCTGTCCCAGTCCCAGACTCCCTGAGTAAAAGAAAAATAATCCTGTCCTGTACTGTCTCATCCCGCACTCGGTGAAAACAACTCCCACTCCCTTACTGCTCCCATTTTGGAGGTCAGCAACGGTCTGAGTTTCTCATTTTATGAAAATCAATCCTTTGTTATTCATCAAATGAGGCTATCATAAAAGAACAAAATAGGCATGTTTTAGCTGTTGATAATTATTGCCTTTTTTAAAATTAAAATTTGAAGATAGCCTAGGAGCAAATGGGTTTAATTTATGCTGTACAAGCGGCAAAATTGTTTTGTGTGGTTTTGGCGGGGGTCCCCCGCCCCCAATTTAAGCCTTTGGAATTGCGCCAAAGAACAATAGCTGGATTTACATGGAGCCTTATATTGCCATTAGAACGAATGGTCCCTTGCATCCATGAAAAGTATTACTGTATTATCATTTATTTATATCTATAAATGTATTCATCAGAAGGAAGCCAGCCACTGTACTACACACTGCCCAATTTGGATTATTGCGTCTCAGCGCTCCAAATATGCATTGAAATCGGACCTACTTTTTTATGGCTTCTGTTTGCAGGAATGAGTGCAGTAGTACCTCGGCACTCTGTTACTGACCGGCCTGTCTGCTCCTCCTCCTCCATACAGTGCACATAGACACACCATAAGATGAGGCTATTTCCTGCAGAGCACAATGGTTTGTGACCTACATGCAGTGATGTCACATCTTGGCGGACAAGAAAGGCAGTGGAAGGAACCATTTTCCTTTAGGAAAAAGATGCCGTGCTGGCTCCTAAGAAGATAATGTGTGTTTAAGTGAAGGATGACACTTTCTTGACATCATTAGCCCCGCTGACACGCATCTAATTACCCAGGTGCTCAAAAGCAGAAGACTGCTCAAGTGTCACTAATGCTGTGTTCACATCTTTGTGGGACTCGATGGCCAACTTGCATCTTACTGTAAAATGCGTGCAATCTTCAATATCATGTCCATGTAAATGCAGGTGTTTTAAAGAAAACTTGGTACATTTAAAACAGCTTTTTTCCATGCCAGTGCTGTATTGAGCAGAATAATGCTGTCAAAGCTACCATTTGTGCCATCGGGCATTTTCCAGTAGCGTTATGCTGTGCATATTTAGATGCCAAAATTCTTGAGAATGACAGCTCTTCTGGTTGCGCTGTTTTGCACGTTGATACAAATTTCCACAAGTTTTTTGTTGTTGTTTGTTTGAATATCTTTGGGTGTTCCTGGAACTATGTATGATGTCGTGTGTGCAATTTTCTTCTCAGGTGAAAAAATTCATTTTGGGTAACTTCATATTCAAGTGGGTGGTGTTCAGGAAGAATGCCACACAAAAAGTATGCATTTTCTTCAATATGGATTTTTTTAGGCCGATGCAAATTACGATATTTGGCAGGAAAACAAATCTGAAAACCAATTAATCGACCAAGCTGCTGTTTGACACAGAACAAGCTTCATCTATATTTGTTTATCTTATTCTTTTTTTATCCCCCAGAACCGTGAGCTGCAGATTATGAGGAAATTGGACCACTGCAACATTGTCCGGCTGCGCTACTTCTTCTATTCCAGTGGAGACAAGGTGAGTTACTTCACCATCGTAGGCTGTCTCAGTTTCCCGTGCCTGAAGCAGTCAGTGCATCAGGCACACCTGAACACGTTTTCTATTGCAAGTCGCAAGCATCTGTCTGTTCATCAAAAGTCCATCCAGCCCTTTCAAGGACAGGAGCAGAGCCGGAGTCTTATTTCTTACCTTTGGACATTTCTGTTTTGCAAGGCCATGAATAACTGGCGAGGGGAACTCACAGTATTTGATGAGAATATTTCACGTGCACGGTAACTGAGTGTGCTGTGGACTATTTTTTTTAAACTTTGGATTATCTTCGGTTTTTTTAGTTCTGTTGGGCAAGGTGGTGGTGGTTATGAATGACTGGTGAGAGGAATGATTGCATTCTTATATGAGAGAACATTTAACTGACCGAGTGCGCCCTTTTTTTTTCAATTCTAGTCTTTATTTCTGTTACAAGGTGGTAACCATGATTTAATTGCCCAGCGGAACGATCACTTGAATGCCATGAGAGCATATTACGCATGTGTGCACATGAGTAAACAGTGTGGCATGGACTTTTTTTCTTGACTCTCAATCCTGTCCATGTTCTGTGTCAGTTATTCAGTGTCAATTACCATAAATAACTGGTAAGGAGTAACCACATTACAGGGATCCTCCATGTGCAATACTGTTCCGTTCTTATGGCAAATCAGCGATGTCGTCTTAGTCTTAATCACCTCAAGATTCAAGGGATGTCGTTAATATTTGTCAACTGTGGCCAGGTGAAGCCCTTTGAGACTTTTCTCTGAGTCAGGGCCATATATATGTAAATTTGACTTGACTTTGCCCGATGCTAACACAGTAGTAAAGTCATAATGACACTCAATTACAGTCATTCACTGAATAACTACGTGGCCATAAATATAAAACAAATGAAAAGGTACCTAAGCGGTGCCTCCTTGCGCCACATGACGTTTTCTTATGTCACCGCTATTTAGCTGCGCGGCCTTCATAGCCTTGAAATCTTGTACGTTGAGCCCATCCTAAATCAAGGACGTCCTGTAAATCAATCGTGTGCATGGCCTCTTCCGCAAGTGTGCCAGAGGAGGGCAAGTGCACAAATCTTGATGACACGTCAGAGAATCACGCTTGCCAAATGTACTCGACTTCAGCTGTCAAATGGGTTGACGCACAGTTTGAATGGCCTACTTTGCGTAGTCCCTACGAGGCCATGCTGTAATTTGTTCATCGATGTCCCAGCAGGTGTGGGAATCCAACTGTTAACTCCGTGTAGCCTTTCACCCTTCATCTGCACTCTGCATAAAGGGAAGTCCCCGTCCACTGCTCGACTGGACTTGTCCGTCTTTGTCGAGCATCGGCGGTCCTCTGGCGACAACAAGGCGAGCCGGCGTCACTGCCTTTGCTGGCAAACGGTGCGTGTGTCAAATATAGACACACGCGCACACACTCGCATGGAAGTTTTACCATGACTCTGCAGTTTGGAATGCTTCCTTGCTACATACCTACCCAAGCCAAAAAATGGCGGCTGGGGGTTTCAAAGAGGATACACTGCGTGGGCCCCTAGAGGCGACTGGACACGGGTGGGGGTCTGTTAATTATAGACATTCTCTCCATGCTGTTACACCATGTGCGCCTTGACCTGGCAACCTTACATTTTTTTTAGGACAATCACACACTTACTTTACAGTTTTAATACATTTTCTACTGGACAGGATCGTAAGAAATGATCGCGCGCCACAAGAATGCGGGGCCAGTTACTGCCGTTACTTATGTTTTTCATTTGGTTGTTGTTTTATTTGTAATAATATAAGATGTTTGTCATTTATAGCCTTGAAGTGTTTCTGTTAGTGGTAGACCACAGCGCACGCCGCATTCTGGATATGTTACGTAAGCAAAGGATCTGCTTTATAGTTTTGTAGACATTGTGACGTGTAATATCATTCGTCTGTTACAATCATTTTTTTTTCCTTCTTCAGTCGCATACTGTGAACTTCCAATATCTATTATTAAAGATTCGCCAATAGAACATTTTTTTTTCAGACTGTACGAGTGCTCATTGTACAGCAGCATACCATCTTATAAATGTTGCACACTTGACAATCATTGCTGCCTGGTTATGGAGGAAAGGGGCTCCCACCATCTGTGGTCCTTTCTTGCTGTTTCTTCTTTCTTCAGCGGTGTTGCACATCTTTGTTTACTGAGGTATTGTGAAGCTGTTTTTTAAAATTTATTTATTAAGGGCCATACAATTAAGCAAGACTTGACTTATATTTGAGTATATCAATTGATTGATCGATTGATGCCTGATAATGACAACTTGAAATTGTGATGGAAATGGTCTTTCAAATTGAATGAGACGTTGTTTAGAAACAAACAAGTTTCACTCAACGACAATTGGTTTTAAAGTAATCCCTTGTCATTCCTGTGCATGCGTTTCAGTCTTGCTGCACATTTCACTCAATGTAGCCCTGTAACACATGCCATTTAAATGAAGCTGTTAGCAGGCCACCTGAAGCTATACTGTATGAGCCCACCGTTAACTTTTCTTTACTCAATGTGCCGTGACACTTAGTTGGCTGGACTGCCTTCGCTGCAGCTTTGTGATAGGAGCTGTGCTTGGGTCCGGGCTGGCTAGTGGTTATCAATGTTTACCTTAAAGTAGCTCCTCGTGGCTGACACAGCTCTTACTCCACCTGTCTGGAAGATATAACTGCAAGTCAGGCTGCTAAGAGTGGTGTCTGTGTCCTAGTATCAGATCATGTTTTTTTTCAGGTATGAATGCAGACTGTACAGTATCGGCACACGTACTGGAAAGCGTGTATCTATTTTGGTGTCATCAGTAGCCTTACTCTATATCATTGGTCATATTCTGTGACTCCTACCCGTGCTTCCCAAGTTTTCGCCCTCCTTCTATCCCATCGACACTAGCTAACCACTGATTTACCGCCACATCCCGTTGAACCAGACATAAGCTGTTTCAGGCGTAAGTCAGAGCAAATACTCTGCAGTTAGCCAGCGTCTCTCAGCGGCTTAGTGGCGCTAGAGAGGGATAACCAAGGCTCTCGGCCAACGTCATTAACCTCCTTCTTCATAAAGCCTGATTGCTTTGAAGATGTCTGTCCCTGGTCGTCTTTTTGCAGGCCTTGGCTTTACACCATGGGTCCAGCGGGTGTCGAAACTTGGATGAGGCAATCTGTCCAAAAAAAATAAAAAAAGTGGTATAGTGGTAAAAACAATTGAATAAACTCACTTATTGAAATGGCCTCACATATGGGAAAGGAGACCCACAGATGCTGATGCACTTTTCAGCTGCTTTTTAAATGCCCGCTAGACAGCAATACATATTAAAACAATGGATAATGGATGCATGTAATTTTTTTTTTAAAAAATGGATAAATGTTGTTAACAAAGCATTCGGAATTAAAAACTAATGAGCCTGAAAGGATTTAAAATGAAGGTGGACGCACTTCCCAACATGATTTAATTCAGTGATGCAAGGTGGACTTATTTGGACTGGCGCTGGCCAGCGGGAGGTGTTCCCGCTTGGTGACGTCCTCACTTTCAGACACCGGTGCTGGGACCCAGGAACATCGCTAGCCACTCTGCCCGTCGTCAGCGCCGAGACTTCCATCTCCCGCGCAATCAGTCAAAGTATGCTGGGAAGTGCACGGCTTTACAATTGTTGCAATACACTGCATGTATTTGTGTGCACTTTTAGTCGAGTCTCGCTGACTTCCAATCCGGAAATGGTTTTTGGGTGTGTGAGTGGACGATATCGTGCCATTGCTCTGCTGCAGTCATGTGCGCCATGGAAAATCACATTTTTGTTTCACAACCTCACAACTTGGACATGGTTCGGAACCTAAATGTCGTCCCATTTGATTTCGCATGAATCAGTGCTCGGCAGTCACCACACCCCAATAAATAAAATACAGTCATTGGAACCCATCTCTTGAGAGGGGTAAAACCTCATCAAAAAGTTTATAGTGTGGTCTCTATATGTGGATTTTCACCACAATGAACAGATGTTCATTGTACTGCACATTGTAATCCAAATCAAAACATGGAGAACACTGCCCAACACCTTACACCTGTGAATTGATATTCCAGCTCAGGCCGCGGTCTCTTGCTTGATTTACCGTACTGTATGTTGCTTAATGTAATATATTACAGAGAGAAATTAACAATCAGGCGCAAGATAACCCGCTTCTTATAAAAAAACAAAACAAAACAAAACAAAAGTCACGTTAGTTTCAATTTATAGAGGTTGTAAATACGACAGTCTGTACTAATTGCGCACTTCCACTGCGTGGTTAATGAGGCCTCATGCCCAGTAGTGAAAATCACAATTTGAGCACAGTGGGATTTTTGAGTGGGATTGTTTGCTGACAAGTCGATAGATCAAATGACGGATGGGCATGAGACAGGCTGAAGTGGGCGGGAGATAAGATAAGAACAGGGCAAGTTGGGATAAAAGTTCTTGCTGGGTGCAGCTGTGTGCCAAGCAACCACGACCACTGCTCACACGCTACTACACTAGTACAGCTGTAGTGTGACTTCACTAGTTTTTAGATGAGAGCGTGTGCTCATAATTTTTTAAAATCCTGTGTTTTACAAGCGTTGAATCTTGTTTCGAATTTTTGCAACGACAGAGTTGACCAGGTCAACTGACACTACAAATTCTACTCCCGGGCTATGAGTAAACAGAATTGTGTTTGTATTGGAATGCCGTCAGTTAAGATGCCAAAGAATAATCTTGAAAATACTTGGAAAAGTTTTTGACCTGGACCTTGGAAAATCCGTGTGAACCCTGTGTGTGAGCACGTGTTTAGGTGGTCTTATGTAACCGATACCATGCGATGTGCTCGACACGCACTACTTTGACCCTCTCACTACTTGAATATGGTTTTGCACTAGTCGTAGCTTTTTGAATGTGACAGTGATTTGATTCTTTATTCATTTTGCCATTGGATTAATACTTTTTAAAATAGATTTGAAATAAATTCTGAACTTGTGTTTGTCGTTAGCATTCTATTGAGCACAATCATGCTTTCCGGGCGTCAAGTTGCTCCAGTGATCACGTTGACAGTTTGCTTAATGAAATGGCTCGCCATTTTCTATTTAGCGATCACGTGTCTATCGCGATACATATTGATATTAAAGTATCAGCCAACCCTTGTAGTCTTCAATGAACCTACCATGCATGGTTTTGGAATGTGGGAGAAAAGCAGAGTACCCAGAAAAAAGCCACACAGGCCGGAAAATGGATTTGGTCTCACAACTAGAACTTTTAGGCCGATGTGCCTAACCGATTGTCCACTCCGAAATATAATCCATGAAAAATACATACAAATACTCTATTAAATGATCTGGACTGTTTTGTTGGTCCTGATACACTCGATTGAATTTTTACCCCATTACTCCACTGGCCACTGTTGGTAATATTTGCTCGTTTTATGATGTAGCATACTCGATTTAAACTGTGTATGCTTTTGCTTCAGCGTGCATGGTTTTTAGTATGCTTACCTGTGCTATTTGAGTAGACACGGATATGTGCAAATCTGCAATTGGTGTAGTTGGATGACGTCAAGCTCACATTAACAGGCTATATCTGATCTCTGTGCTCCTGCATTGGTATACATCCAACATGTATCACATTTAGATGAGTCCTAATTCCGAAATGAAGATAGATGATTCCATGTTTTTTTTTTCTCCTTCCCCGTTCTTCTATTTTCCCTGCTGTGATGCATATCCAAATTGTGCCACTTGGGAGATGACACGGAGATTGTGTCACTTGGCGTTGCACACTGTAAGTCCAGAAGAAACCAGAGTATTAAGTTTAGACCGTAGCCCACTTTTTTTTTTTTTGCTTGATCCACAATGTTAGATTGCCACCTACGTAATGTGTCATGTTTGGGATTCCACACAGCACTCACATTTATGAGCGGCTACGCCAGCCAATTGGCATCCGAATTACTGAACAGAGGCAGGCCAATCAGGTCGCCGCCTGGCTATAACCTGTTGGGATCCAGCCAAGGAAGTGGCTTTGTAGCCAGGCAGGAAGTGAGTCATCACTGTTGCTAGGCTAAATATAGCTTGAGTGGCAATAGCGGGAGGTAGGGTGGGCTCTCTAGTAGTGGCAAATGTTATCAATGGGTGTCTACAACACACACATACACGAAGTGAAATGGGGTGACTCCAGATTAATGTACAGCCAAAGCCACCAGAGGGCTGAAAGCCGTTTGGGTAATGATGCTCGTCATTGTGGTCCGGTCCTTTATTTCTATCTTTTTGGCCGAGAGAATCCCAGCTGGCAGTCCCCATTAAAAAAGTACAGCATTGTGCTGACTCAAGTGTAACTCGTAGTTTGACCATCTTTGAGAGTGAGTGAGTATCCATAGACTTGCATAAAGACATTTCAACAAGTTAAGAATTGATGTCTGTATATATTTTTATTTTTACTTTTGATGGCAAAGTTTTCCCTTTGATTGAAAATGAGTATCTGCTTCAAATATTGGTTATCGGACTCCTTGACGACTAATAATCACTGTCAATATCGGCCCTGAAAAAAAAGTCCAGCTCTAATTTGATTGTTTTATATTTACGTCCTACAAGTGTTTTTCATATAAATAATGAATAAAATTATGCCTACTGGTACATGAGCATAGTTTAGTAAGAGTCGAATGGAACTCCAATGCAAGTCGATTACAACCCTGAAACAATACTGGACTGAGCATGGACCTGAATCTATCAGGTTAACTCCTCGACCCCCCCAATCCCACTGAGGTGTGAACATTTGCGAAGGTTAGCGAATATGCGTTCACGTCAGGGTTCATCAGAGTTCATTTAAGGTCGCAAAATGTTTGCCGACAGTTGCTTTTTTTTTCTTGTCAAAAAGGAAATTTTGAATGTATTCAAAATTCCCCTGTGACAAATGATGAGAATGCAACATTCGCTACTTTTGCACCGTGCAGACGTCATAATGGCAATAGATGTCATTTCCGCTTGTTACATTGTGCCGCCAATAAAACACAATATGTTCATGTCCCTCACCACAGGAATAATGTAATATTCAGGGTAATTATGGCTTTAATTCTCCATTAATCTCGGGTAGTAATAGACGAAGCTTGTTCTGTCTGGTTAGGTCGCCTTGTGAGGGAGGGAAAGGATAATTTTGGATAGGAGAGGAGAGGAAGAGAGCAGGACAATGGTAGTGGGCCCGCCCGAGTGCGGTGGGAGTGCCTATGTAATTTCTGAACACCTGTAGGAATGCAGTGCAAGTGAGGAGACGGCCCAGGAAGTTGTCACGGTCGCAAGGGTTGCTAATAGCAAGAATTCAATGAGTAGTTCAGAGCCCCTAGTGCAGGCCAAGATCCATTCAGAAGCGAAGGGAAAAGGAAGTAGTCCCAGAATAATACAGCGGCCCCTGTGTCCCTTCAAGGGTCAGTGTGCTCCAGTGTAGAACGTGCGCAACCCCTGTGCTCTTCCATGGAGGAAATTATATCACTGTCTGCGGCCTCTTCTGGAGTACAGGACGCTGTGACGCATGCGTGTGTGTTTCCTGCCCCTCGCGGGTAAACCCGCCACAATGGCCCCCTTCAGTTTGACTCTGGCCAAAACGTCGTTTACATCAGCGCTCAAGAAGCCATGAGCAATAGACAGGGGAAGGAAACACAGAGGCATTAAGTCGCATTTTGAGTGCCACTCGATGATGTAGATGTGCTTTCGGGTTATGTCTGATTTACGACTGTACTTTTTACTTGAATGTTCTTTTTTTAAAAAAAATTATTATTATCTGTGTTCCCTCACTAACAGAAAGATGAAGTGTACCTGAATTTGGTTCTGGATTACGTTCCTGAGACGGTTTACAGAGTGGCCAGACATTACAGCCGAGCCAAGCAGACTCTGCCCATGGTTTATGTCAAGGTACTGTATGTGACATCTCAATACCACGACAAAAATGACATTCAGTCGAAGTCCAAAATCTGCTTGGAATGGCCACTTCAATTTAAGTACAACAAACCAAAAAGAAAGAAAATCAGATATATAAGATAGCATGAGCGCAAAAGAACGGTAGCTTGCTCCACAGCAGTTACAAAATAACTGCATTCTTAACAAGATTGCTCAAGACATACCAAATATTTCGCTGATTGACGCAAGTTGAATCGTTAACACAACTTCAGCCTTGTATGCTTCATAATCAGTGTGTCTCTCTTTGCAGCTGTACATGTACCAGCTCTTCAGAAGTCTGGCATACATCCATTCGTTCGGGATCTGCCATCGGGACATCAAGCCTCAGAACTTGCTCCTGGATCCCGAGACGGCTGTGCTGAAACTCTGCGACTTTGGCAGGTGAGACGGCGCATACGCCCGACCGCGGGAACCTCACGCTGGCAGAATAATACGGCGGTCCGTTTTGTTTTCGCTGTTTAGTGCCAAGCAGCTTGTTCGTGGCGAGCCCAACGTGTCCTACATCTGCTCTCGTTACTATCGAGCTCCCGAGCTCATCTTTGGGGCCACCGACTACACCTCCAGCATAGGTAAGCTTGATCCCTCCTGTTGCCGTTTTTCCATTGATGTGCTTTCGTGCTTCTCGTTAAAACTGAATTTGATCTTCTCTTCAGATGTGTGGTCAGCAGGCTGTGTGCTTGCAGAGCTGTTGCTCGGACAACCAATCTTCCCCGGTGACAGCGGAGTCGATCAGTTGGTTGAAATTATCAAGGTAAGGCAACTCAGGAAGAGTTAAAAGTCGCCGTCCAGCAGTCCAGTTGTTGTCACTGAGCTTTTCGCCTGTTCACTCCAGGTTCTCGGCACCCCAACCCGGGAGCAGATCCGCGAGATGAACCCCAATTACACAGAGTTCAAATTCCCCCAGATCAAGGCCCATCCTTGGACTAAGGTGAGTCAACAGGTACAGGAGCCCTTTTTATTCTCTTAATACCACTTCATGCATGTGTGATGTCATTGCAGTCAATGTGGGGCGGCTTGATTGTGCTCGTGCTAGTTGCAATTCGGACATGAATATCGGAATTTACTGGATCTGGTCGGCAGGGTAGTGTGAAACGCGCACCATGTGATCCCTTCCGGGCTGGAGCTGGTAACCAACGGTCTTATTTTTCGAAATTGGGATTGACTTTGACCCAAATTCAGCTAAAAGTGTGTTCATTGAATTTAAGTGGTTAATTTGAGGGTGGCCCGGTGGTTCGTGTGTCGACCTCACAGTGCAGAGGTACCGGGTTCAATTCAAGCTCTGGCCTCCCTGTGTGGAGTTTGCAATGTTCTCCCCGGGCCTGCGTGGGTTTTCTCCGGGTACTCCGGTTTCCTCCCACATTGCATGGCAGGCTGATCGAACACTCAAAATTGTCCCTAGGTGGGAGTGTGAGCGCGGATGGTTGTTCGTCTCTGTGTGCCCTGCTATTGGCTGGCAACCGGTTTAGGGTGTCCGCCTACTGCCCGAAGACGGCTGGGATAGGCTCCAGCACACCCCTGTGATGGTTAATTTGAGTTGTTTTCCAAACTGACGATTTGCCATTAACTGCACAGCCGTGTTTATACTTGGTATATACTTAGTATATACTTAGTATAGTTTATACTTAGTATATAGTTTATACTTCGTACAATTTCGCCCCGTTCAACATAGACGTCACACAACATAGCTAAATACAATAAACAAAATAACCACAAGTGCCGAGAATTTCCCTGCGATCCTGGCTCAAAACTTAACTCAAAGTACCATCACCATGACCACGATGAAAATACAGTAGTGTCGCAGGCCCAATTGCTTAAAGGATACCTGGGGGGGCAACTGAAATAACGAATCAATTAAAATGTATTGCACAATAATTTTAAATTGTACTGAATAAATGTTTAGAAAACAGTTATTCAAGTTCACGCGGAAATTTGGTGACATTAAATACAACTTCGCTGTTCTCAGGCAGTGATTCTTTCACGTCTCACTAGAGGAAACCCGCGTGCCGCACTTTTGAGAATCACCGCTCTCGTTCGACTGCCGCCTCATATTGCCTCGCCATGCTGTGTTTTGTGCCCATGAAACAGAAATATGCCGTGTATGTTGTGTTTCTTGACTTGTGTGTGTGATCACTGTACAGACGTCTGTGTGTGCGATGGGTGTGCAGGTGTTCCGGCCACGTACGCCCCCGGAGGCCATCGCTCTGTGCTCGCGCCTGCTGGAGTACACGCCCACCGCCCGCCTCACGCCCCTCGAGGCCTGCGCGCACTCTTTTTTCGACGAGCTGCGCGACCCCAACGTCAAGCTGCCCAACGGGCGCGAGAAGCCCTCGCTCTTCAATTTCACTACTCAAGGTCGGGGCACTTGAACAACTTTCTTACCATCGCGACCCAATAGTACAGCAGTACCTAAAAATGCTTCGATCTAATCATACCGGGCTTTAACTTTGGTTCAATACAGTGTACAAAATACATGGCTTTAAAGCATAATTGCATCTGTGAACAATTTTTGCAAAACAACAAACAATAAATTCAACAAACAAGTTACGCCAGTTGCCACAAGGCAACCTTTGCGGATTACCTTGGCCTGGATGACCAAGAATCCACCCAGACAAACGAACGCAGACATTAATGTTAATGAGCGAAAAGCCGCTGTAATATGTTTTTTTTTTTTTCTGTCTTTTGTCAGAGTTGTCCAGTAATCCGTCTTTGGCCTCCATACTCATCCCCGCCCATGCTCGCAGTCAGGCTGCCGCTTGCACCCCAACCAATGTCTCTGCCACCACTGGTAGGAGCCACGCTGTCCCTCATCCACTTCATTTCTCAACTTTGAACGTTTTCACCGACAAAACGGAAACCGAACCAAAAATTTAAAAACGTTTTGTTGTACTTTAAACGAGTCCATTTTCTTTATCTGAAATTGTGTACTTAAATGAACAAATTATTTATTCTTAAAAAAAAAAAAAAAAAAAAAAAAAAAGAGAGAGAAAGAAATGTCACCGACTCGCTATATTTAGGTCAGACTTTGGGGCATTTAAAACATGGGTATTGGGATTTATCACTTTTGTTTGTATTAACTTTTGGCTCCATCTTTTGGAGGGCCCTAAATGCAGCTTTCTTTTTTTCACAGTCTGTTCCACTTTTCAGATAAGCTCCCCAATTATTAATTTTTTTACTCAGTTTTGTTTGCTTGTGTGCTAACTTTAATTTTTTGCTGCTGTTGAATTCTCCTATCGCCACATGAACAAAGGGCGACTGTACCTGATTTTCAAAATAAAGCCTCTTTCAAACTCCATCGTCTGTGTGGCCTGGTACCAAATGGCCTAAGTCATTGTGCAGGTTTGTGGCCTGGTGGTGAGCAGTGTGTGCGGAGCTTTTGAGTCTCATTCCTCTTCTCTTCCCATTGTCGAAGATTTTCCTTCTTTTGAAATAAGTGTTGCAAAGAAGTACGAAATAGAAAAACACCACATGTATGATTTCATGGTTCGGATAATGGACGGTGGTGGGTTGCTGAACTGAGAGCTTGCATGATGTCATTCGTGCCAGTGGCGCAAACGAGTTTTCCTGAAAATGTTGACAACATGGCCACCTTGTGTCCACAGACGGCAGCAGCACAGAGCGAGCCCCTAACACCACCAGCGCCTCGGCTTCCGCCTCCAACTCCACTTCCTGAGCACCCTTCCTCTCCCGACCGGTCTCAGACCACCAGCCTGCGGCCTCCACATTGTTGTCTCGGGCAGCACAGCCCGGCCACAACCACAAATGAAAATCTGCCTTTGACCTCCCCTGCAAGCCCCCTTAACAGACCCTCCATCCAGCTGTCAGTTGTCTCCGAGTAGGCGGGGCGACGGCCCAGGGAAACAGGTGTGTGAACTTAAGATAAACGTACACTTTGTTGTACACAGAAAGCCTCGTCTCTTGATGTTTTCAAGGACGATTGTAAAAAAAAAAAAAAAAAACGTCACACTTACCCCCTCCCTTTCACATCACCCCGTTTTTCAGAATCCTTACCGGCCCAATTCTTCTTCATGTTTTTTCCTCCTGTACAATGCATGGCCTGAGAATGGTTAGGGAATGTGGCTGTCGGTGTTGGGCGGAGTCAAAGCATGAGGCTTGTGCAAACGTGCACACACACACACACACACACACACACACACACACACACACACACACACACACACACACACACACACACACACACACGGATGCATGTGCAAAGAAGCAAATCCAGATGGGAATTTTCTTTTCCCTTAGCCAGGGCTTGTTTTTAACACGCTTAGCAAGCCATTTTACTCAACTTTGTTTTAAAATATTTTTCTACCCCCCCCCACCCTCATTATTATTATTTTTATTTTTTTTGTGTCGGATGTGACATGTTTATCTGGTCCTGTGTGCTTGTACAATATATACATACAAAAAAATCGCATTACATACACAATTTATATATTACTTTTCCTTCTGTATAAAAAGTATATATAGATATATGTATATTAACTACTATGGTTCAGAAGTCTGTTAATGGGTGAGTTCATATACATCACGAGTGGCTGCAATATTTGCTGCTGACAACAACAAAAAAAGAAGTGGATCACCTTTTTTTTCCCCCTGCTTTTGCTGGAATGTACTAAAATTTCAGCATCCCTTTTCCCCCGTTCTCCATTTGTCATCTTTTATTGAAGCTATGGATTAGGGTGGGGAACCTCTGTCCATATACAGCCTGCCATGCTATTCAATAAACATCCAAATTCAGTGTCACTGTCATGAAAAGTGCTCATAATATATATGAGGAATATTTGTGCTTCATATGTATTAAATATTTTTTAAATAATTTTTTGTGGCCTTCAAAGGACAAATTTCAAATGGGACCTTTTTGGACAAACAGAAAGGGCAGCCGATTGAAAAAAATGACAATGGATTCTCTGAAGAAAACCGAAAATGGCCCCTGATTGGAAAACCTAAAATGGCAGCTCATTGGACAAACTTAAACGGCGTCTTAGAGGAAAAACTAAAATGGTCCCCACCCTTCTCTTTTATAACCACTAAGCTATCCTACCGCCTTTGCTCAAGTTCATTGAAGCGTCTTATTGCTAACAGATAACGCTCACTACAGACAAAAAAAAAAAGGAAAAAAGCTGAAATTGTACATACAATATAAATGCTCCTCACCAAAAGTCATTTTTACGTTGGTTTCTTTTTGTGTGTTATGTACATATGCAGACCCATGTAATGTTTAACAAAAAGTAAAAAAAAAAAAAAAAAAAAAAAAACACCAACGGCAGAATCAGGGCAAATGTTGATCGGTTGATGGATAATATTTTCAATGCTCTTTATCCAGCCATATGTCCGATGTTGACCTGTACAGTACAGTAGATCTTCTTGTAATGACAACTAGTCATGTATAGTGTAACGATAGTTTGGAGTGCCTTTGCTTTCATACACCTTCGCCTTGTCGCCACCCCTCCTATAATCGTGACTCGCCACCTTTTCCCCCTTTGGTGCTGTTGAATTCCCCGCATCGCCCCATGAACACACACCCGCGCGCGCACACACACACTCACCCTTAATTGTAATATAGTAGGTTGTTGATGGACCGTTAAGAGTAAGGATAGTTTCCTTTTGAGTGTTTATTTGACTAGGTAGTCTAGTTTTATCCAGGAGACGCGCGCGCAAGCAGGCAGCACCGCAATAGTCCACATACACGGACGGACCTCAAATGAAGCTTTTTGACAAAAAAAAAGAAAAAGAGAGACTGTACATATTGTGAAATGCAGTACAGTATGGCGGGGGAGTATTCGGGCCACACTGAAAGCAGCAAAATAAAATGATTGAAGTGGAAATGATGGAATTGCAAGAAAGTTGAAATGTTGCCAGGACAAAGTTTTAATGTTATATGAGAAATGTCCAGACAAAATGGGATAAGGATTGAAAAAAACGTTTTCTGAAAGTACAGGACAATATTGTGTTTGTACATGCGAGGGTCCACGTGAAAGAAATTAAAAAAAAAAGACAGAGAATTTATTATTAAAGTTAAAATAGTTTGATTAAAAAAAAAAAAAAAAGGTTAGAGTAATGTGAAATTATCATATTCCGAGAAAAAGCTTAAAGTTGAAACTTGAGCTCAAAGTGACTAGTTGCGATGATGTCATGGTTTCAGTACGAATTTCACACAGAAATTCAATCTAAAAAATGGGATTTAATCCTTGGGACACTACAACTTTCTAGTCTTATTCGGCGATTTCTCGTAATAATAATAATTAAAAAAAATTGACTTTATTCCCGTAAACAAGTTGAAACAAATGATTGTAATCATGATCATTCAATTACAACATTTTGACTTGAGTTCCGGTCCTCGCAACTTCATTCTCTTATTCCAAACTTTTCACCAAAACAGAAACCTTCTTTAATGCCTTAAATCTCATATTCCACATTCATTCATCAGAACACCGCCCCTTTTTCCTCGTTCTTAAGTCTCGTATTGTTTTGTCTTTCCCCAAAAAGCAACTTCATTCTACTTTCGAAGGAAAAGTTGGAAAATTGAAGTAATGAAGATAACAAATTCATCTGTGACACGACACCTTTATACTTGTATCATCTCAACTTTTCCTCATAAATACATTTATTTTCCCCTTGTAACGTGAAAGCATTTTTCTGGTATCATTACAACTTAATTCTCATAATATTCCACCTTTTTATTGCCTTTTATCCTCCTCATTGTGACTTATTCTCGGTATTCCAATGTTTGAAAAAAAAAAATAGATCTTCCAGTGTGAAAGGAAAAGTTGTAAAATTACAAGAATTGAGATGACAACTTTAGGTTTAGGAGTACGACTGTTCTCCTAATCGTCAAACATTGTCTTTATACTCGTATCACTATGACTTTATTCTTTTATCCTTAAAATGTAAAAAAAAAAAAAAAAAAAAAAAAAAAGACTTGCTTGAGATATCACTTCCAACAGATAAAAAGTTCTGAAATTGCAATTGAGCTGAGACGGCAGCTTCATTGAAATAACATTTCTCCTTTTTTGCTATTAACCACTTAATTCTTCAATATTACGTGACAACGTGTCATTGCAATTTTTCTTTTTACTCACAATTTCGTTCTCGTATCATTTCTTTTTTAGGAGGGGCCTGTGGGGCGTTATTATACACATACTATTCGAAGTCGAACGTTGTACACCTTTGTAACATTACACTTTTATTTCTGGAGTATTTCATAACTCCATTGTTAAAACATTGGGCCTATCCTTGGAATATCACAACTGTTTATGTGCAATATTTTATTCTTCTATCATTGCAACTTCATTCTCACAATAGTCCCAACATTATTTTCACAAGATTACAACTATAGCCACTTAATTATCAAAAATGTGCATCTTCTCATAACATTATGACTTGTGTCACGGAAATGTCCCCCCCCATTGTGGCCCTAGCAGTCCTTATGTTGGTTGTTGGAGGTAGTAACGTGGAGTTGTTTTCCTTTTACTGTATGTCTGACATCTTTGGGAAGCTTAGTCCAGTATTCAGTAGCACCTAAGGGTTCGAGTCATGTGACATCTCCGCCGCTCCCTGCTCGCTGTAATTTTGCATCCAAACATGTTGCATCCCTCCACAACCTACCAAATTCCCCTCTCCAAAACGCGTACTTCAAAAAAAACAAAACAAAAAAACCCCACACCACAAAGGGTGCCAAAAAAAAACAAAAGTAAAGTGGAGGTGCTCGTGTTTCAAGGTAGCGTAGCACAATGTGCTAACCGGGTTTAAGAAAAGAGCATTGTTGAAGATTATTTAAAAAAAAAAAAAAAAAATCCCTTATAACAGTACTACTACTTGAATGACTCTGTGACTGAACATTTTTATTTTATTTTTCTTTTGTTCTGTGAAGATATGCTAAATGTGCGCCTCTGTAAATATTCCTTCTGCGTGCTCTGAGGAATAGCTCCCTGGTACTGTAATTTGCATTCAATAAAGAGTAGGATAGCCTGGAAATTAACACACCTTGTCTTTTGTCTTTATTTTGCCAACAAGCCTTCATTCATTTCCGAGAAACAGATACCACCTTTTTTTGTAATTACCTATGGAAATTATCCTAAAAATATTCCTTTTCAATGAAACAAACACAGTTAAATTATATATTAAGAATACAAATTAAAAACAGAAAGGAAATGACTGAAAATTTGATTACATCTTTGAAATTGAAAACAAATAACAAAAAAAATCATGATCATAAAACTGCAAAATGTTTTTAATCAAACCACTTATTGAATTTGTTGGCGATTGTTGATGGTGATGCTACACTTAACTATTCCTTTTACATACTTTGCATGATAGGCAAAACAAATAGGAATCTACTCTAACCATAAAATAACCGCTGTAAATAAGTGTCATAAAGGAGCGAAAGGAAGCCAAATATTTTTGCTGATTTTTTTTTTTTTTTTACTTTTTGTGCACACATCCTGTACTACCGTACTTATGGTTTACTTGCTCCATTTGTAACTTTCTATTTTATTTCAAACATTTGACATGATCTGTCCCATTGTGAATCTGTTTGAGGGCACTCTTGAGTTTTTCAGGTGAAAAGTCAAAGCACCGCTAGTGGAAAGAAGCCTCGGAAAACAGTAGGTCCAATTAACCTGGTGAGTCAGTCATTTACCTTTCACGGTCGATTTTCTAGATTCGGTTACCGTAGACGTCAAAGTAGGCAAAGAAAGCGAAGTGCAGTGGATTATATTCAGATCACCCTCAGCTTTTACGTTCATCCTAGAAAACTTTTTAGGAGTACGAGATGATCTGTGATTTGGTTTTAGGCCACTGCGATTATTTGGCACCGCTGTGACCCGGGACCAGCATGTCGTCCAGGAACTGCTGGGCGGCCACATCGGAGGGGCGGGTCACCTGCGGGGTGCCCATTGTGCTGGCCACGATCTGCGGCTTTGCGTTGCCCTCCACGATGCTGCGCACCGCCAGCAGGTGTCTGCGTTGCCTCTCGTGCACTAGGAGAGCGGGGAAACAAAACCAGCATGTCAAAGCAGCCATTTTGTTCATTTCACAAAGTGTCTGCCAATATTTTCAATGATAGCAACAAACCTCTCTCCCTGACTCTGATCTTCTCCACCTCAGGAATGAGGAAGCCGTAGACCAACTCCGACACGATCTCCTCCGACTGAAGGTTGTTGCGGCTGCTTGCGCGAAAAAAAAAAGACAATCGATTACATGGTTTTTTTTTAGGTTGTTTTTTGCAAACAGACATCTTTCCAGACGTGTTATCGAGAGTCTGTCACCTCTCCTCGATGGCATAGGCGATGTCGTTGACCTCCTTAGCCACCCTGCGGATCTCCTCTCGGGCCTGCTGGTCTGCCGTGATTTCCATGGTGTCCAGGATGATGTCTTCAAAGTACAAATCCACCGTCTCTTGGTGGACTTTGACCACCTACCACACACAGGCACGCTCGTGACACGATCCGTCTTGGCAGGACTTTCTCAAGTCGACGTACTTCTCGGAAGATCTGGTCGTCCTCCCTGCGGCGCCGCTCCTCCGCTTGCCTCCTGCCGCTCTCCTCGGCCTCGCGCCTCAGACGCTCCCGCTCGGCCAGCAGCGTGAAGGCGTGGATGCGGCGCTCCTCCTGTAGACGGATCAGCTCCTTGGAGAGGGTATCGAACACGTATTCCAGCTCGGCACCCACGGCGGCGGCGTGAAGGGCGTCCTCGCGGGACCTCTGCCAAGGAAGGAGAGATGGTGGGTGGAGTGAAGTATTGGGAGGAAGTGCTTGAGTCTAAAAGTGTAAAAATGTGTAATGGACACCCCCAGAAAAAGGTTTAGAATTGCCTAGAGATGCCATGGACAAAAAAAAAAAAAACCCACTGCTTTCTTACAGAAGCTTTTTTGTGACACCACAATGCCACAAGATGGCGCTGAAGCGCTACTTTTCTTGTAGAAGCACTGAGAGAAGCAATTATTTGAATTTTCTATTGAAAGCAACCAGTTTTTTTCTTTTTTTTGTGGCAATACCTTGAGTCGCAGCTTGTCTCTCTCCTCTTTGAGGGCCATGACCATCTCTTTGTCGGCCTTCTGCATCTGCTGCTCCTCTGCTCGCAGGGCGTGTGCCGTCCTCATCTCCTTGATGAGGTCCAAGTGGTTCTCTTTGCCAGTGAATATCTGCATTGGTTGCGCGCGCATACACACACACACACACACACACACACACACACACACATGCGCATAAAAGAGAGCTAAGCAACACAGCATGTGGATGAAGCTGCATTCAGTGTTGCGACATGCAAAAAAAACACCTCCGTTTGGATGGTCCTTCCCCTCAGCAGTTTCTGCAAATGGATAACTGCCAGCTCCTTCTCCTCTTCCCCCTAGAAAGCAACATGACAATTAAAATGTCAGACAAAAGATGGTCACTTTTTCACATGCGCATGTATCGAAGAGAAGCGAACTGGCCTCTGGCGGCCCCTCCACAGTGGGAGTGACAGGACGAGGAGCGGGCTTTTCCTTCTTGATGAGATATTTTGCCATCTCGTCGTTCAGATTCTACACAAACACGAATGATGATCAGGGAGGTGTGGAGGCTTATTAAAATGTGCATTTCTTTTAATAACCTTGTACTTGTCCAACAGAATGCTTCTTCTGCTCTCGGGGGGCTTGGTGACTTTGCTTGTGCCAAGTATGTGTTTGGACTGTTTCTTCAGCTGCTTGAGAAGTTCTTGGGTGGGTCTCTGCATTCGATTCAGCAAGCCTGGTGATGACCGTTCAAAGCAATTTGTGCTTGGCTTAAAACAAAAACTACACTGCAAATATCAGCCCCCAAAGACTTTTTTTGTTAAGTTCACATGATAAAATAGTTGGATGCAGATTCTGGATTTGAATCGGATTTTAAGGCATTTGTGCTAGGATCAGACCAAACTACACCAAATTGAAGCCAAATCCACTCAGATTTTTCATATTGCAGCGATAGCTGAAATTTAATCATTCACAACTTTGCATGGATCGTCTGTCTTGCAAAATGATTGGATCTGGATTGTAGCAAATTTCCATGGGCTGCACTGGAGCAAATTATGAAATTTACTGAAATTGGTAAACTTTTTGTACTAGTTATTTGTTGAAATTATGCCTGTATTACGAAAGGTTTTTAGCTCGTGATCAAAATTCATTCATTCATGGATTGCAACAAGGCTCTCACAAAATTCAAAATCCGTTTTGGGGTTTTCTTTTTTCAATTTTGCACTGTAAAATGGGTTTAGTATCTGGATTACGGCTCAAATTTGAGATCTGAATCTGTTTCAAGGACATTCGTCCCGTGGCTCAAACCAAAGCGACACAAACATTTTCAATACACACCGTCGTATGTCTCCAGACGTTGAAATTCGTGACTTGCTGTTTTCTTGAGGGCGAAGGTGTCGCCGCATGCTCGCGAGGCGCACGTCAGAGAGGAGTACACAGTGTAGTCCTTACAAGTGCCCAGCTGCTTGATATTCTCCTCCATGTCCCTCCTCTTGGCCTCCAGCTTCCTCATTGCTGCATACACATTTTTTTGGGCGATAGTGTTCACGGTCAACGACAAGTTTGAACGGCACTCGTTTCACTGCTGCGATGCTCTTGTCTCACATCTCATGTGTTCCTTGTCCACCTTGTGGAGCTTGTTCTCCTTTTCCTTGAGCAGCTTGGAGTAGATGTGGTTGAGTCGGTCTTTGGTCAAGGCCACCTGGGCCTCGTCCTTCTGCTGCAGCATCTCCTCCAGCACGGCCAGACGAGCATCCTGCAACCTGCAGATGACAAATGTGCTGAGTCCGAGATGGCTAATGGCAGTTTATTAAAACAAAAAAACAAAAAAAAAGTTAGTTGGTTTAAAAACTAATCAAATCAGTTGAAACATATTTGCATAATACAAACAAATAAACATGCTAATTTCACCATTATTAAATGAATGTACAGTGTTACCGTGGGTTGTGTGGATGGAATATTTGGAAATTTACAGTCGATATATAGTTTGCCATCTGATACGCTGGGTTCCCCTTGATACAATCATCAAAGGGTGGTGGATGGATGGAAGAATTTTTTAGGGGCCACCACAATAATCAGAATTACAAAGTATTATAAATAAAAAAATACACAATTATTCTCAACAAGAAATTGCCTTTAAATAATAAAAAAATAAGGCATTGAAATCAGTCGATAAAAAGTCATTACTTCTGTATTTTTCCTTCTCTGAAGGCCCACTCTTTAGCTTCCATTTCCTCCATCATTCGCCTCCTTTTGCGCAGAAGATTTGGGTCGTTGAGTGCAGGAAGCCTCGCCTCCCAGACCCGTCTAGCGCGCGCCCTCTCGATCATTTCCACTTCTTCAATACTTGCTGGCAGGCCTCGCTCTGACGGGAAAGGGCGCCTTATTACTGCGGGGCTGAATACAGTCTGATACATCGAAGGAATGGCTCTAAAGCAGGCATGGGCAACATAAATACTGGAGGGTGCCACGGTTTGATGCGCGTATACCCCAGGTGAAAGAAGCCACCGTCAGCAGCTCCGAAGGGGTGGTATCAGCGTGCAGCAAATAGTCCGGGGTGTACGGGTCCGTCTGTGCTTCGCTCTCCCTGTAGTCTGTCTGCACTGCCACAGTGAAATGGGTGGGAACGCCCCCAGCATGTCTGCCAGTGGCTTCTAACTCCTCTCTGATGAGGGTGGAAAAGAGGAAACTCCTCAGAAAAGATCAAATCAATAAAAATAACAGTGTGCGTATTGAACTTACTGATAACTATCACGATTCACATCCAAGGGAATCTGTTGCACATATGGAAGAGGCCTGGAAGAAGCACAATGGAGTCCCGCAGAGAGAAACATGATCAGTCCTTTTTCTCAGGTTTCATCATGGTCCACTTCAAGTGTGCATTGCACATTCACCGGTCACTTTATTACGCACATGACTAAGAAATGACTTTCGACTTCTTTCCTGTTCCGGGTCACCTGAGCGGATTACGCACATGATTTGCACAACGAATCTTTAAAAAAAACATTATTTATTGAGGGTGCAGGAAAAAACTCAATTCAAGGAAAATCTTGAATGTAAGCCTTGGCAAGTTTTAATTGATTCACACGCCTCAAAAATGTATATATTTTTTTACAAAACATATATTTACCCTTGGTCTATGTGGCTTAAACTTGCGGCTTATGTACAGGAAGCCAGGCGCTTGAGCAATGGAGGCTATTAACCCACGTTCAGTTATATTTTTAATGATTTTCTAACAATGTCAGTGGATATCTCGGGCCAAAAGCACACCGACTTGCCATTTTCAAGCCCTTTTCTTCAAAGTAACAGTGCCATCCAGATGACTCAAAAAAATATAACTGGTTTGTGAAGCATCTTGAAGCTTCATTTCCCCATCACGAAGCAGTGCACATGTACAACCATTGCAAATCCACAATAATTAACAGAATATTTTTAATACCTCTATAACAGACTAATTTTTCTTTTTTTTAATGGAGCATCATTATCTTTGTGAAGTTCTGATGTCGCTCTTGTCATGGAACCTATTAGGTTGTGAACGTGTACTTGATGAAATGGCCAGTGAATGTATCGTAGAATGGGTTCTGTCAGTCGTCATCTGTACTCTTTTGCGTCTTCTCTGGTGAATTTGATGCTGTCATCTAGATTATTTATGTGTTCGGTGAATCCCTCAACTTCCGTTGTTTTGATTTTGACAACTGACAGAACCCATTCTACGATGGAACTTTCCTGTACGACTGAGAGCCTCCACAAGCAGTGAATGTATGTTACATTTGGAGTTTCTGAGAGAGCAAAGTTCAAACCTTTTAAAATATTTCCAGCGATCAGCTCCACTCGGCTGACTTGTTTCTCTTTTTTTCATCATGGGCTGAATATTTGGAATAAATCTGTCAGTGAAAACAATCATGAATGACACCTAACTTTTAACAGTAAAATACAATGTGCGTATCTGTGTATGTTTGTGTTACCCAGCCAGTTGCTGGAGGGCCTGCTGTCGTTGTTCTGCGTTGCCACGCCAGCGACGGTCCACAGAATCTGGCAGTGGATCGGAGGGGTCCAGACGAAAGGTGACCCTTGCATTGTTGAACATGGTGTCAAACTCGGGCAATTTTCTCTGTGTATAAACATAGAACAGATCGAGTCATCTATGATGGTTCTCCTAAGTCGGGGAAGAGTTCATTCGGAGTGTAAAGATAACTGTACGTCTGCAATATCATGTGTCAAGAATGATTAATTACAGCATATGACTTAAAATAATACAAATATAAAAATTATTATTATTATTCATGTAAATACTGAGAAAATATCCACAAAATTATGAGGTAATAAAAAAAAAATCAACACCAAAAAATGAATACAATCTGAAGGGGAAAGCATGTGAAATAATGATAATCATAACCACATCATAACCCATTTTGTTTTTAAAGAAGAATCTTTTTGTTGTTGGAATTTCTTCATTTTATGTTTTGTGTTTGATCTTTAGGTGCACCTATTTGTTGCTTTTTTTAAGTGGTCTATAAATAAGGATAAGTTGAGAAATTTATAAAATGGATATCATTACAAATGAGACACCGTTTTTAAAAATAATTGTATTTTAAAAAATGGGAATGAGATATTTACTATTTATTAATAACTAGTCCCGTTTACTTACAACTCGCTCCTTAATACTCTTATAACTGGACTTGACATGGTCGACTTCCGAAGAAACGAAGTATATCGGCTCTGTGGGACAAAAGTGACATTTATTACAACTAGGAAAGCTACGTCCCCCAAACGAGCTAGCTAGCTAAATAAACGTACATGACTTACCATACAAGTAATCATATAGACGCTCTCGTTTCACAACTCTGGCGTCAATCGGCTTGGGAATGGTATGCGTGACAGTTGTCATTTTAAATATTAATTTTACCAACAAAAACTCGCAACTGGCGTTTGCCGCAAACGGCTCTAGTGTAGTCTCAATGTGAAGTAGTGTTTTTAGGAGTACACGCTTCACAATAGTGTACGTCCTCTATGACGTCACTAGCCTTGGGAAAATGTATGTATCACATGTAAATATGTCAATGTCTTGTGTCAAATCGTGTAAAGCTATTTTTAGACACGTGCTTCTTTATTTTGCCATGTGAGAACAAAGAATTTCTTTTCGTGCACGGTGCATCCTGAGATAGCTAGCAACGGCTAGCGCATCCTCGCTGTAACCATGGAAACTGTAAACTTGAACAAAAAAACCCAACAAAAAAATGGGTTGAGTTTGATTGGCATCATGCAAAGGCAATTTGAAAAATTCTTCATCAAAGTGAGATGAAACATGTCGCATGACTTTCATTTCTGAATTGAGATGTGCGTTTTTACTCGAAAAGAAAGCTGTCGTTTACAAAGAACGTCAAAGAGGGAGCTACAACTACAACTACCAAAATGCACTTCGGCAAAGGCTAACCAATCAAGAAACGTTTCTTGGTTGTTAAATAGAAAATTATTAAAACCTAAAACAACTTTGAAAAGAACATATTTCCAATAAAATATAGTCAGTCTGTGTCACTGAGGTCTGACATTCCTTTATAGATTGGGAAATGAAAAATTAACAACTGAGAAATACGTCAAGGCAATTGTGTTTTCTGTTTTATCTACCAGAACATATTGCATTACCCTTAAGTTTATTTTGACATCAACAGGATGTCAGTCTTATCAGCACACTCACACACACACACACACACACACACTCACACACACGCACACACTCCTATAAGCTCAACTCAACTCAACTGCATTTATATAGCACTTTCAAACAGCCATCGTTGCATACAAAGTGCTGTACAAGCGAGTCAATATTGCATCAGTCAAATATATCTCAACTTAAAAAGCGCCTATTTTTGGCCCAGGGGAAACTACGCTGACCTAAGCAGCTGAAAAGCTATGATGTCTTGCAAAACAAGAATGCCAGCTCACAGTCAGCTGAAGCTCTGAAGGCTCAAAATTAGGAAGATGCGCGGTTAATATTAAATCTCAACAAATGAAAGAAAAAATAGATGACTTTTGTCATTTTGGCTGCTATGAAAAGACTTTTCCAATGCCCTTCTCTCACTTCTTGCTGCACAGAAACTGCCTACATGTTTTTCTCTGATTTATTTTCCATAGCAAAAAGGACAAAGTGCACCATGGCGAATTGCTGAATTATGATTCATATATCCCAAGTGATGAAACTGCTGATAACAAGTGGTGAGTTCATACTGAGAGTAAGTGGTTTCATCACTTTGTGTAAGTGTCACTTTATTGGCAGCGCTTATACATCAACAGTTTGCAGTGTCATATCTACAATTAGGTTAAAAAGCATGACCCTTTTGAAAAATGTATTTAAAATGATACAACCAACGTGACTGGAACGTAGCTTTTTAGTTGTTGCAATTGTAAATATTTGACTACATGTGACTCATTTGACTCTTAATGTTATTTTGAGGATATGCTAATGCCTGCTGAGAAAACAAGCTAGCAACCTGGGCAGAGAAGGCACCCAGTCAGCTCGATAATATTTTACATCTAATCCTTTATTTGAGTACTATTTCAACTGAAAATTGATAAATTGCTCACATGCTAACATACAGCAAGCTAGAACCCCGCGTGCTGGTTATTAGGATTTTACATGTTCTTCAGTCAGGTAATTATGTCAATACACAAAATGCTAACATGCCAGCAGATAGCAAGATAGCAACCTGAAGGCAGAGTTTTGAATTTTGAAGGAGAATTGATCAATCAAATGCTATACAGTTGATATGCGAACATTAACACTACAGCAAAATGAGTAGCCGACTAAGGCAGACTGATCAAGATTTGTAGTCTGGTACTGTACTTTAAATTAGGCTGGCTGAAATGTTAACAGTCGAACAGCAGGAATACTAACACATAGCAACTTAAGCATAAAAAGTGCTCATAAAGACTGATAAGGGACACGTTCAGAAATATGCTCAGAGTGTGTACTCCGTTCTCTCCGACTGTTTGGAAACTCAAAGCCTTGTTCAAATGGGCCATTCGATTATGCACAGTACACCAAAAACAGAGTCGCCACATATCCCCCGAAGCAATCTGAGTAAAGAAATGATGTACGGTTTTCTGTAAAGAGCTGCAGTCAACTTCCTGTGATCACATGATGATGTTTGTGGAGGAGGAAGAAGGGAGGGAGGGATTAGCACAACTGACCACAGGCTGCCTGTGACTTGACAATGCTCTCTGTGGATTGGAAGAGCTGCATCACTCCTTAACCAGAAGCTGGTTCAGTCAATAAAAGATGGTTTAAAAGTCCTGTGGATCGCTGAAGATGAGGGAGCCGACTGGGGTTTTTGCTGTCATTCTCTCGTTGCTGTGCCAAGCATGGACTCACGACTCAGGTGTGTAATAGCTGCAATCTAGGTATCAGTTGAATTGACTTTTTTTTTTACTTCTTGGATGAATGTTCATTTCAGAGTTTGTGTTATTTTACATGAGAAAGGTATAAATATACGAAACGAGTCTGCAGGCATCCACAGCGTCAATATCAATAAAGAGAATCACCTGTTGTTGCATTCAGGCATTTGACAGAAACTGAGCCAAATAAAATAGCAGGCACTTAAACATACTTGAGTCTTTCTTCCTCTGACATAGTAAACAAATACAGATATGGAAAAAAAAATGCAATTCATTTTCAACTTCCTTTCAGTGACACAGACAACATTGTTCTATCTTTAAACTACCCGAGACGTGTTTATTTGTCAAGAGTATTGTCAGTATTAATTTTTATTCTTACATTTTTGGACCAGTCATTTTTTGTGTTTTTTAAAAAAATTATTTATAATGTATTTTATTCGTATTCGGTTCATTAATTTTTTTTCCTACAGTGTCAGGTTTTTTTTTTTTAGATAATTTTTTAGATTGTTCATCATTTATTCAGAGTATACCAATTGAATATGCGCGTTAGATTTATTCATTCATTTTATAGTTTCATTTTTTGAATGAATGCATGTTTTGTACTTCATTTTATTGTTAGTTTTATTTTTCAGATGTTTTTTTTTTTATTTCTCGTGTCATTTATACATCATCAATGCCATTTATGAGTATTACATAGTTTCATTTTTTGAATGAATGCATGTTTTGTACCTCATTTTATTCTTAGTTTTATTTTTCAGATGTTTTTTTTTATTTCTCGTGTCATTTATACATCAATGCCATTTATGAGTATTACTATTTTTTTTATTGTCACTTTTTTGTTGCTGTTTTCTATTCCGCATTTATTTTCACATGGCCAGAGAGGTATTAACTAAACCCCCCCCCTTTTTTTTTCACATGGCCAGAGAGGTATTAACTAAACCCCCCCTTTTTTTTTATTTTTATTTTTTAATAGAAGTGTATGTATGCACCGCAAATCAGTGGCTTAGATGCAGTGCAGTTATGAGTCAGAATGCCAGCGGAAAGAGGAGTGAAAGAGGCGAAGGCAATGCAAGATGTTCCATGCCCTGTCTCTGAATCAGCGAGCAGTGAACTCTATACGGATTTCCAGTGAATTCATTCTTTCCACTTCTAACTGCACAAGCCGATGGCATCCAAAATTCAACTCTTGCAAAGATATAAATGATTGTTTCTTATTTCTTTTGACAGTGGTCCACTTATATTTCAATGTGGGCAGCGAGGTGAAGCTGAACTGCACCGATGTGTCGTGGGCACAGTTGATGTACGTCATCTGGAAAGTTGACCTGGCGGGACACGAACAGTGTCAGGTGGGCAACAGCTCGATCAAAAGTGAAGTGTTTGACACCTGCGCCGATGGCAAGTCTCTGCGCATTTTCTCCGAGTCCCACTTCTACCTGCACATCCCCAACTTTTCCGAACGCGACGTGGGCATGTACAGGTGCGAAACGGCTTTCCGTGGAGGATACCACACCTGTAACATCAGCGTGTCCATCACAGGTGCGACCAAGCACAAATTTCCACATCGGGCAACATTTGGAATGTAAAAAAAAAAAAAAAAAAAAAAGAATGAAAAAGTCATAATGTTACCAGAAAAAAGGGAGTAATATTGCGAAAAAGCTACTGTATGATTTTACGCACCTGAAAAGGTCACATTGTTTTAGTGAAAAAAAAAGTTGTCGTTTCACTCAAAGTACTGATTTCTTCAAGACAAATGCTGAAATGTTGTCAAATAAACATTTTTAAAAAGCGATTTTGGGAGCCATGGAAGTCATAATTGTCTAAAACAAAAGTAAAAATTGTAATTAGGAAAAAAAAATAAACATTTTTAAAAAGCGATTTTGGGAGCCATAGAAGTCATAAATGTGTAAAACAAAAGTAAAAATTGTAATTTATTAGGAAAAACTGTGTTGTTGAGAAAGTCTTTTTTTGAAGAAGAAGAAGAAAAGAAGTTGAAATGTTACAAGAAACTTTAAACCTTTCATGCACTCATAATGATAACCTGATAACATGATAAGCTGTCCACCGTAGTGACTGGTTGGGTTGAATACTACTAGAAAAATTCATTCATTCATTTTCCGAACTGCTTCATCCTCACAAGGGTCGCGGGGGTGCTGGAGCATATCTCAGCCGTCTTCGGGCAGTAGGCGGGGAGACACCCTGAACCGGTTGCCAGCCAATCGCAGGGCACACAGAGACAAACAACCATCCGCGCTCACACTCACACCTAAGGACAATTTAGAGTGTTCAATCAGCCTGCCGTGCATGTTTTTGGAATGTGGGAGGAAACCGGAGTACCCGGAGAAAACCCACGCAGGCCCGGGGAGAACATTGCAAACTCCACACAGGGAGGCCAGAGCAGGGATTGAACCCACAACCTCTGCACTGTGAGGTCAACACCGGGCCGCCCGACTCAAAAATTAGTTTGTTTTTTTTAATTTTTAATGAAAAATTTGGTACAAGCAAAACAGTTTTGAAGAACAATTAAAAAAAAAGGCCATAATGCAAAAACAGCCCAATTCTTTATTTTTTTTTCCAAAAAAATGATATCTTGAAAATTAACATGTAATTTATCTAAAAAAATATCTAAAAATTGTCACTTAAAAGAAACACCTTACAATACTGCACTTCTAGGAAAGTTGTAAAGGATTAAAAAAAAAAGTCAATTTTTTGGAAAAAAAAAAGTTTTAGCCTGTTAATTTTGATATTTTATGAGTCTGTGTGAATTGTTTTTGCACCCCAAAGTTGATTTTTATCTGTTTATTTTATGCTCTGAACTACCACTAAAAATTGGCTTGTTGAAAGCACCTCTTCATGTCTTTGATATCAATTCATCATTTGTGCACATTTTCCATAAAAAAAAAAAATTCTCGCTAGAAATACATTTATTGATATTCCGACTATTTTATTACGTTAAAAAAAGTAAAAATATATGATTGCTGCATATCATCACTAGTACTTTTAGAGGTGCCAAATTTTAAAAGAAGAAAATGAAGAACACGTGGATTTTTTTTTGTTTTGTTTTGTTTTTAATTCCACATTTCAGATATACAAATAACCCTTTGATGGCATCAACGTGCTCCCCTGTCCCCTACCTGTTTAAAAGTATGGTAATGTATTTGTCAATTCTTATGTTCCAGTTCCTCCTCGTATCTCGTCCTGGTTGGAGCCGAGGGATGACAACAGCATGGAGGCCGTCTGCACAGCCGAGGGAGGAAAGCCGGCCGCCGCCGTCATGTGGCGCCACGCCGGGAATGTGTCTGCTGTGGAGAAGCAATGGACTTCCAGTGGATTGTTCTCTGTAGAAAGCCGCCTGAAACTACCCGAGGGCTTGACGAACGCGACGTGCATCATCAAACATCCATTCTGGCAAGCAGAGAAGATGTTGGTACCAAAGCACCGAAAAGGTTTGTGCGCCGTAGAATTTTGAGTTTGTTTTTTGTTTTTTTTTTTGTGCCAAAGATGCTACGGAAGAGAGTGCAGGACATTTCGTTTGTTACATTCAAAGTCAATAAGTAACTACCAAACAATCGTTAATGAATTTGAATTTAATTTGGTTTATTGGTTTTATACACAATACTTATAGTGACCTTTGTTTTTTTTTTTTTTTTTTTTTTTTTTTTAATCCTGCAACTAAATATAAAACTAATACTAAAAACAAAGTGCCAAATTCGGAGTAAAACCACAATTTCCGTCAACAGATTTTTCAAGTTACATTCAAAATTGCTGTAAAATGTTGAATCAAAGCTGGATTAAAATTCTTCTCGAATGGTGCGATTAACTTCACAGACTGATATCCTGTTTATCCCTTTTTTGAAAATTCAACTCCCGGTACATTTCCTTTTGTTTTGCCCCTCAGGTCTTCCCTATACTATGATGTGCCTTCTAGTTGCGTCAGTCTTAATAGTCCTCGCTGCATTCTCATTCTTTATATACAAGAAGCGAATCACGCTTAGGTGAGCATCTACAAGCTACTTCATTTAAGTTCTACAATTCTGTTATCTGTCCCTTTTATTTCCCCTTTTTTTTTTGTGACTAAATTGTTCCTTAAATTTTGAATAATTGTGTTCCCTTTCACAGACACAGTCTGCTCGCCGACCGCTCGCCAATCAAATCTGAACCCGTGGGTGTTTTTGAGTTGTTCGTTTCTCTTGAGGTTAAGTTTTTTTTCCTTGTTCGAGAACACTTTTATGTTTCGATAATGACTTTTTGTCTGGGTTTTTTTTTTCTCAGACAGAGAACATAGAGGAAGTGGAGCCTTACGCCAGCTACATTCAACGTGTCAACTCCATCTATAACTCATGATGTGCCCCCCCCCCAAAAAAAAAGCAAAAGAGTACTAGCACCGCTTTTGACTAATCCCATTACTCTTGTGCTATGTTAACTAAACTAGAAATGCACTTGGGAAAACTTGAGAGAAAATCACATCAAGCTTTTACAAGAATACATTGGACGCAGTTATGTTTGACTTATATGGTGCGTAACTTGGTGTATTTGATGTCTTCAATGTTGGTTGAGAACACTAAAGCACTGGAAGAGTAATACATATTGTATACATATGTATATATCTATTTCCAAACCCCTTTACTTTCTGCAAAAATGTGACACGTACCCATCCGCTTTTCACTGAGTGTTATCACCACAGTGACTTTACAAATAAACAATATTGTTTTTATTTAAAGGTTAAATGTGTCAATCAATTGTACTAAAAAGTTAAATACAATTGAATGGTGCTCAGGGAGTTTCCTTCGCAAACCACTTGATGGAGACCGTGCGTCACAAGAGGTAAAAATATTACACTGTGAGAATCACTGTCCGAAACAATGGAAAGTTTTTTTTTCTTTTTTACAAATTTTGCTTGCCTTCACTTTTGTCAATTTGTTGTTGTTTTGTGTTTTATATGTTCAATAAACAAACAAACAAACAAACAAACAATTCAAACACAAAAATTTAAAAAAAAAAAGAAAAAAAGGATCCCTTGTAATTTTCTCATGACAGCTCCATAAAAATGTATTTGAATAAAATATATATTTAGACTAATAATGTCATTTTATGAATACAATTATGAATTAGGCCTCCACATTTAATGTACTTGTTGTTATTCATCATGAGGTTATTTTACAAATCAAACAAAGAAAAACAAATAAAAATTTACTATAGTAATACATTCAAAATAAATATTCAAATCATTGCTATGCAAATATTTATGAATTAATCATGTATTTTTTGCCCTTAATTGAGCATTATTATCACTTCTTAAGGCAGATTGTTTTATATGTATATTGTCAAATTGGGTGATTGTACAGATTTTACTACACTGTGTTCATATAGTCATTGTGCACTTTTTTTTAATTTTATTTTTTTTATTAACGGACATGTTTTATGATAGATTACAAGAGGTACATAGGCTCCTGAATGTATTTTACCTTGAAATATCTCTGTTAATAAAAATATAATGGCAAAGTGACTTTAAAAACACCCAATATAAGTTAGACCAGGTGTACCAAATGTTTTGGCCTTTGACACTATGTACAATATGAATTCCGAACTGTCACGGAGGCACAACTTGTTCGATTTTAGATGACTGCATTGTGACACTAAATTACAAAATGAAAATGTGATTTTTGTCACAAGATGCTCTGATCAGCATGTCTTATATGTTTCCTCTTTCTGAGGCATCAAATGGAAAGACAATCTGTGTATCAGGCAAAAAAAAAAAAAAAATCATCATCATCATCATCATGAAGTCCTGCAATTTCCTTTGACTCATCAACTTTTATCTTTCTTGGGACGGTCTTGAGGTAAACCACCGCCAACGCCACCTTGGTGACATCCTCAGGAGAACAGATTCGCAGTGCACTCCCTGCTGTCAAGTTATGTGTCGGTCGCGAACGAGCCGGTACAAAGAGCCGGCTCTTTGAAGTGAACGAAGAAAGCCGGCAC